CCCCGTGGGGCTGGCACAGTCCTGCCAATGTCACCTCTCTATTTTCAGCTTGTTTTCACCCGGGAGGTGACCCACACAGGGACACAGACACACACAACGATGTGTTTACAGAGGACAATGCTGTAAAGATGTTGGAGTGAGGGAATGTCAGGACTGGAGCATCTCGGGGTGGGGGGTTGCTGCACCCCTGCCCTGGGCAGGGGCCGTGGTACCTGCGGGCACCCTGGACCCCAGGGGATCTCCGGCAGCTGCTCGGTGAGGAAGGAAAATGATGCAGCCCCCAGAAAGAGACAAATAGCACGGAGATGTCGCCGGGACGGTTGTCATGGCAACACCATCAAAAAAAATGCCAAACCACACATGGAGCAGAATCGCTGTTTCCTCCTCAATGGGAGCTTGGGGGCAGCTGGTGCTGTTGGGAGCTGGGTGCTGTGGGGAGCACCGTGTGGACACCCACTCGGTCCAGCCCCTGCTCAAGGCACAGGTCTCTGTGGGAGCAGGGCTGAGGCCACGGGCTGTGACAGGCACCCACCTTCCTCTTTCGAGAGGATGCTCAGCCCCGAGGCACCGCAGGAAGCATGCATGGCTGCAGCTGCCTCTGCACCGGCAGCCTCTTGCACCCCGACTTTCTCAGCAATTTTCAAAACAATCCTTCAAGAAAGGATTTTTGTTTGAATGTCTTAAGCCTCCTGCACCCAGCTTCATCCTGCACCCAGCTCCTTCCTGCATCCCAGCTTCATCCTGCACCACAGCTCCTTCCTGCATCCCAGCTCCATCCTGCACCCAGCTCCTCCCTGCGCCCCAAGGCACCTCCCCCAGTGGGTGCCAAGTGGGGCTGAGCAGATCCCTGTGGGGCAGTGATGCTGCTGCCCATGGTCCTCGGGCACAAACGAGAGGGGCAGGAGGGGTGCACAGTCCGTGCATGGCAGTGTGTGCTCCCCTGTTTGGCTGCCGATGTGTTTGGCACACTCATCTTTAATTCACCAGGGTGACTTTTGATAAAGCATCTGTAACATCAAGTTGTTTTTCCTTGAGTATTATTAAAGAGCTTAATTTATGCTAATTAAATACCAATTAACTTCCGAGCACTTAATGTGCTTTAAGGACATAAAATACATCTCATTCCCTTTCAATTAAGTTTGCATCACGGCTGGACATAGGTCTGCACTGTGTTTTTGTCTGCACATGGATCTGCTGCAGAGTTGGGATGTTTCCAGGTGTTTTCCAGGTTCTTGGCACCCATCATGGTGGAGATGCCACTTGGGAGCAGGGCACAAACAGCGTGGTCATTGCTGAGGTGTAGGGCTGGTGAGGACACCAACACTCACCCCCTGCATGATGGAAAGCCAAGGGGAGGCCAGGGCACTCCAGGGAGATGCCAGAGGCTCCACAGGCATTGGGCATGTGCTCGCTTAGACACTACCAGCTGTGTCTGGTGCCAGTGCTTTGGGGACACAGGTTAAAAACCCAGGGTGTGCTCAGGCAACAGCATCAGAGGGATGTTTGTCTGCCCCGGTCCCTGCCCCAGCTTCTCCTGCCCTCACTGCAGCTCTTTCATTCTGGATAAACACCCTGGATAAACACAGAGCAGGGGAATAAAGCCATGCTCTCCCTGGAGTTAGGCTCCCGGTGCCTGCCCACCCACAGGAACAGTTGGATACTTGTCCATGCTGGGAGGCTCCTGCCGGAGCCTGGGGTGCCACAGCACAGCCACCACACCCCACTGCCCACAGCAAGGCCATCAGCCCACGAGCCTGAGTGGGGCTTGTGGCCCTGACGTGGGTTTCTGGTGAGCTTGCTCCCACCTCCTTGCATGACCCCCAGCCTTGCAACAGCTCTGGGGTGGGTTTTGCCCTGCCCTGTGCCTCACCTGTGCCTGGTGCCCAGTTGGTGGCTGCAGGTAGTGGTCACTGGCACCTCCTCACACTGGAAATGGCACAGTGCACTGCGGAATGTGGGAATTAATGAGTCGGTTAAATCAGCTGAGTCTCTCCCCTTCCCTGGCTCACTGTGCTGCAGCTCCTCCGGAACAGGGAATCCCCAGACTGCTGGGCAGCACACAGGGCTGGGCTGGGCAGGTGGTGGGGCAGTGAGAGGCAGCACTGGGTGTCCCCAGCCCTGGCACAGAGCTCAGCCTGAGGGAGGGGCAGGTGAGGGGTGACCAGCTGGAGGGATGTCTGCTTTCCCAGGAGCTCTCTGGAACCCCAAACAGTGACGCTGCAGGACCTGACTCAATCACTCTGCCAATGCCAGAGCACCCCTCATCTCACCCTCAGAGAGGAACAGCGGGGGAAAACAGGCTGAGGGAGTGATAACCCTGCGTGGCAGCAACAATCAGGCAATGAGGAGGAACAAGGAGGAGCCACAGGGCAGGAGCTCAGTGAGGCCATGAGGTGCTGTCCCCGTGGTGGTGGCTGTTTCTGTGGTGGGGTCTCACTGGGTGATGTTCCCCCACAAAACGCTTTTCATCGTGGTCAGAACAACACCCAGTTGTTCCCTGTGCCCACTGCCCACCAGCCCTTACCTGCTGCCCGGGGAAAGAGGAGCTCCCAGAGTTTTCCCTTCCAAATCCTCCCCTCAGCAGGATTAGGGGCTGGCAGTGTTCTCCCACAAAGCCTCCTCTTAAAATAGCAGCACCCCTGAGCAGAGGCTGCACACGGAGGTGCCAGGAGTGTGGCTGCAGAGGGTAGGATGGATGAATACTTTCAGAACATGTCCCATGAGAGCATCTGGGAATTCTCCCATTGCTCAACTGTAAGGTTTTCTGCAGCTGGAGAAATCACAGCCCCCCCGAAAAGGGTGAATTAATCCTTTTAGCTCATTTTGCCCATTGGGTGGATCCACACTGGCTATGGAGGGCGAACCTTGAGCTCATCTTCGGTGTCTGTGCCAGCCCTAGGAACTCCCCGCTCACCACCTGCTGCTGGTGCCATGGGGAGCTCCCATGGGTGCTGAGTGCCTGGCTGGGCGTGCTGGGTGGCTGCGTGGGCTCGGCACGGGGGACGGCGGAGGTGGGCGATGACGTGTGGAGCCAGCATGGCGCGTGAGCTGGCATCTGCATGTAGGAGCTGGGGAGAAGGGAGTGGGAGTTGGGAGGTATTCTGGGGAAGCTTGTACAGCCACACCATTAGCAGGGTCCAGGCAGCGTGGGGATGGGGATGGGCTCCTGCCCCCCTGGGCTTGGATGGTGCCCACGGGGCTGGAGGACATGCCCTGAGGTTGGGCAGCATCCTTCACTGCTCTGCCACGTCCCTTGCTGCCATGCCACTCCCTCTGATCCTGTGCCATGCCCCTCTGCACCGTGCCGTGTCCCTGTGCAGCCCCAGAGCACTGTGCCACTGCTGAATTTGCTCTGCTGGCCCACAACAAGGCCCCCAGCACCGAAGCAACCTCCCCACTGAGCATTAGGTATGCAAAGAGCACTAACGAGCCTCCCCACCACATGCAAAGCTCAGGGGGTTCCTGCCAGAGACCTGGGAGTGTACATGGGGGCAAGCAGGGACAGTCCCAGCTCAGCACTGGGGGCCTGACCAAGTGGTCCCAGACCTGCTCCCTGCAGCAGAGTGGGAGAGGCCCTGGAGCAAGGCTGGTGGAAAGGAACTGCGGGGAGAGGGGATTATTCCCTCCCTTCCCACTCCTGCTTC